AAGTTGAATACCTCATTTTTTTGTAGTTTTCATTATTATTGCCTTTTATTATCAGTATCTTTATAAATTTGACCTTTATTTGTCTTTGGGAGTTGGAAACATTACATCTGAGAATGATAACATTAGCAAGTTATGCGCTGCCACGTTGTATGTAGTACATATTATGAAGATGTACCAAAAAACAAAAAGACAGTCATAAGTGCAGTTCATCATAATTAGAATATATCGTAAGTAGGGGGCTACTTGTAGATTGATGCAGTGGGAAAAGATTAAATCACCCAAAGAAAAAGCCTATAGTGCAAACTCAGTGTCATAATAGGTAACCTCTTTTTAGAAGATGTCACTTTAATCTCATAGGTTTACTGAAACTGTATCTTTGCATGTCCTTCTGAGATTTCATGATAAACATCAGATAAAAATACATTTACAAGTACATTAATTTATGATTAACTGGGTTGTTAGTTTCTTCAGCTTTGTTTTAAACATTAAATGGAAATGATGAGCTTGAAACACTTTAGATGGGGATGTTAGAAAGGCTATAAAGATAGCATTCAGCACTGGCATTGGACATGCTGTTGGGCCTGTTACCACCAGTACTTGTAGCTTATAGGGCTTCTAAAACAGAAGCATGGCATGTAGTCAGCTAGAGCCTTGATTTCACAACAGTTTTGACTTACAGGTTGGGACAGGAGTTTTGAGGTTAAGGTTTAAAAAAATAGTAAATTACTTCTTTGCCTGATTAACATCTTACAGTCTATTTCAGGAGATGGGGGAACTCGAGATCTCCCAAATCCAATCTTAAAGGAGTGTTTGTTTATATTTCACATGTAGCTTTTATTTAGATAGATGGTTGGCAGTATGTTTTGGTGTGCATTTGGAGACAATACAAAAGTAAAAGCACTAATATAATCTAAGTCAGGTGTAACTGATTTAGGATTAGTCTCTATTTTTAATTATTCTTTGCATCTTTAGTATGTGTCAATATGTATGAAATATTTTCACAAAATAGTTCTAAATATTTCTCACAAGATGAGTGAAAAAGTGAGTCAAATCTATTTGTTTAGCTTCAACAATCTGACCTTTTAAAGCTGCATCTCCAGGGGAAATAAGTAGTAGATTTGAATTGCCAAGTTTGAATTACTAGTGGGTACTTCTCAATCTGGACTTTATTTAATCCCTCTGTGCATTTGACTTTCTCCTGCGACTGCCAAAATATTCTACACTAGTTCTTTTTCTGTCTGTTTTATCATTTCTCTTCTGTCGTCTTTGCGTGCACCTCTTCCTCTGCTTTATACCTAAATGTTGATGTTACTGAGATCTGTTCTCAAGCCACTTTTCTCCTTGTTTGGTATACCTTTTGTCAAGAAGTAGTTCTTTTCCTAAGCTACAAGCCCAAAGTAATTTGAAACCTCTCCTTGCTCCACATTTCCCTCTTCCTTACATCCTATACCCAGAAGTCAATTTAGTTCAGTGAACCTTTGGCTATATACTAAGCCCTGTGATGGGCAGTAAGGTGCGGTGCTTAAATCTCTCTTCAAGCCAATCCTTTCTTACCATCCTCAATTTCACTGCCTTTGGTCAGGTTTTGATCATTTTTTTTCTGGTCAGCAAACACTGAGAGCAGACTCCGTGGCAAATATTATACTGGGCACTGGGAATAAAAAGATGATTAAGTTTGTATAGTAATAAAAGAGACAGACAAAAAGTATATGCAATACAGGTTACATAACACTTAGGGAAATTTGATCTCATGCTAAATATTCCATACCAAAAAAAAACTAAGCCCATTGCCATCAAGTCAATTTCAACTTGTAGTGACCCCTATAGGACAGAGTAGAACTGCCCCATAGGGTTTCCAAGGAGCACCTGGTGGATTTGAACTGCCGACCTTTTGGTTAGCAGCCGTAGGTCTTAACCACTGTGCCACCAGCGTTTCCACATATTCCATAAGGAGCCTAATAATACATTAGAGTCATGGACAAAAGAAACGGTCTCATCTAGTGCAGCTATGAATACTACAGAGAGCCAGCACAAGAGGGATTGCGATACCACAGTACCTTTAAGTGTTCTTTCTTGTGTGGTTATTGTACATTCTTTCTCTGTCAGCAGCTTCTCTTGCTTTAGTGTTTGTGTTACTCTCTTCTCCTTAGTATTTTATGATCATTACTAGGAAGTCACCAAGAGGGCAAGAGAAGACTGTATATGCATTTTCATTTTATGTGAAATGTTATTTGCGTAGAAATTCCATAGTGAGATGATTGTATAAGAAATTTGTGTAAGATACAGAGGTAGTATAGGGAAGGGAGTAGCTAATTCATTGTGAGATGGGTCAGGGAAGGCTTTACAACAGAGATCTACTTGAGTAGGGCTTTGAAGGAGGTGGGACAGGATAAGGAGGTTCTAGGAGTTGAATGTGTGAAAGCATCAAAATACATGTTTCTAACTGTAAATAATTTCTTAGCTTGCAGTATAGTGAACAAGGAAGGCTTTGGCTGGAGGAAATAAGGCTTGAGTAGTAGATAGGGGCTAGAAAGATCATGAAGGGTTATGTTGTTGGGCTAAGGAACTTGGACTATCAGGAGCTACTGAAAAGTTTTAATCAGAGGAATAACACAGATCTATATTTTAAAGAGAAATTCCTGGCGGCACAATCCTAACTTCAGTGAGATCTGCCCTGCATTCCATCCTCTCTATCACCAGAGTCAGCTTAGTAAAACACAAGACTGGTTGTGTAAATTCCCAGCTCAGAACTTAGGATGACTTCCAGATACCAAAGTCCAAGTTTTTTTTTTAACCATTTCTTTAAGGAAATTTGCTATTTCCTCTACCTTGAACGTTTTTTCTTCAGACACTCGCATGGCTCACATCTTCATTTTATTCATGTCTGTGCTGAAATATCACATCAAAGAGACCCTCCCTGGCCATGCTATCAAAACCAGTACCCTCCGTCACTCTTTAGTTTCTTACCATGTTCTCTTTTTCTTCTTAACATTCACCAGCCTGAAAAGTTATATGTTTATTCATTTGTTTATTTCTGTATCCTCCCACTGGAATGTAAGTTCCATGAGAACAGGAGCTTTTGTGTGTTTTGTTCACTGCTAAATGTTCTGCGTTTGGCACATGGTAGGTGTTCAGTATTGGTTCAAAGAATGTGGCCCCAGCCAACTTCCTCATCTCCCTCTTCACCTTGTGTTTCACATGTCAGACAGGGGACTTCTCACAGCTCACCATTCCCCAGTCACTCCTTTCCGTGAAATCCTGTTCATCTTTCCAGATCCATCTCACATACCAAGTTTTCTGTAAAATCTTTTTTCAAGCACTTGCCCCTTCTAAGCTTTCATAGTACTTTCTGAATATTTACCAGAAGAACGTTTACTGGACTGTCCAGGACATGATAGGTACAAATAAATATTTATTCAATGAGGTAGACATGCATGATAGGTAGAAGTTGCAATTCACTTTGTTAATTGGAGATATGCAGTAATTAGGTGTGACTTGAATTTGATTACCAAGTAATTATTAGGGGAAAAGAGCTAGGGAAACAGTCACCAGTTTCTATTAAGTATGCAGTTGTATGAACAGTCTGGAGAAAGTATTGACCTGTTGTTTTGTATATATGCCACTTATATATGTATGTGTGTATATATATATGTATATATATATGTTAGGAATAACATGAATTGTAATAGAGAAAAAGCAATAGACATGTTCTGAAGAAAATGCTTGTTAGGGACAGTATAAAAAGCATGTTAAATTTCATATTTACTTTTCATCATCTGTTTGCATAAAGTATTACTTCTTCACATAGAACATTGAAGACATAAATGGTCTAGAAATGTTTTCATTGAGGCAAGATTAATCACACTATACCTAAGCTAATTTCTGCTTTGTAAGATAATATAATTTAATTTGAATTGTTAAAAAATGTCTTTTGTTGTAAGAATACTCACAATAATTATTTTTTGGCTAATGGGAAGGTGCAGAGTCATGGTCTAAAAATTACTTTGTTTGGATTGCAAATGTATTATCTATTCATATTTCAGAATTGGTGTCTGATGATCTGTAAATTCACTTTAAATAATCAATTTCTGCTATGAAGTCCTGGCTAGAGCATTTGTGTGAAGTAGCCCAGTTTCTCATTTGTAAACATACATTCTGCTCTTAACTATAAGTACCTTTTCTTTCAGATGAAAATCATACTAAATGTTGAAGTTTCTTTGAATTTTCTAATTAAGACACAAACTATGACAGATAATTAAGTGTAATTACTGCCCAGTCATAAAAGCAAAATTTGCCAGTAATCACAGTTAATCTCTAGTATATGTCAATCAATAACTATAAATAAAGCCAAATTTATTCTTTTTTTAATATTGGAAGACTACATTTGGTGGCTGGAGTATCTAGGTGCTAGAGGGGCTTTGAGAGGTTGTCACTGATGGAATGAAAATGTATAAAAATAGGAGGCGGGGGATGATGAAGATACACATTTATTCAGGGTTGCTTCTATTTATCTACAACATAAATGAAATGCTTCTTGTAGAAGATAACAAAGGAAGCATAATTTTCCTATAATTTATTGAAGATGTTTCCTGTGGAAGATGGCAAAGGAAGTATAATTTTCTCATAAATTATTGAAGCTTTCTTTCTTTTTTTCCCCCTTCCCATAACAGTGGCTAACTACAATAGGGGAAAAATTATCCAGTTCTCCTAATAGATTTGTTAATTGAGTATCACTGTGTCACAAATGTATGAAGTATAGGTAAGCATTTTCATAAGATATTATTCTATGATGTGTACATAAGATTTTTAATAAAACATTATGAAGAATTTTATCCCTTTTTTTCTTGATTAAGATATGAAAGGGAAATTTTGGAAAGACTTATATAAACTTCAGGTAGATTTTAAATGTTTGTTTTATTAGAAAAATATTCGAGGAGATGTTATAATGCAGTAGAAATTTTTGCTTCATAAGTTTTAATGGATTTTTATTTGTTTTTCAGAGTAAAGCCAATCCCGGCTGAAGGTATCAAATCGAACCCTTCCAAGAGACATAGAGACCGACTTAATACAGAGTTGGACCGTTTGGCTAGCCTGCTGCCTTTTCCACAAGATGTTATTAATAAGCTGGACAAACTTTCAGTTCTTAGGCTCAGTGTCAGTTACCTAAGAGCCAAGAGCTTCTTTGATGGTAAGACAGAGGGCTTAATTTTTGTACAATAGCTTACAAAATATGATCATTGTTGTGTTGAAAATTATAAAAAATTAGCCATATGTAAAAAAAATCTTTAGGTTTATTGCTATATAGTAAAATTTAAGTGGCAAAACCAAATATATAATGGTTCTTAAAATCAGTTTTCCAATTTCATTCATCAAAGCGGATGAATGGTGTCATTCTTTGAAAATCACATACTGGGAAGTTATGCTCATACTAAGTATGCCAGATTCCCATTCCCCTTCTTCCAAATCAAATTTCTGAAGATTGTTTTCTTTAATTAAAGAATAAAATATATACTGACTGTAATATATTATTGCTAGATGTCTTTCAATGTTTTATAGGTATGTCACTTCATTTATCCTTTCAAAATTAAGTGTACCGTATTTTTACACAAATAATGAGTGTGTTCTTTATTTTTTTGCCAACTGCTCCCTCCTCCCTTCAGGTATTTTCATAAGTATGCTATGCTAGTTTTTTTTACAGCAACATGTAAAAAAATTAGCATAGTGCACTTACAAAAATACCTTGTGGGGGAGGGCACAGTTGGCAAAATAGTAGAACCCGTGCGTTATTTGCATAAAAATACAGTATTTCTAGTTTTTTATATTAACTATATGTTAACTCCAGGAAAATGTAATTTAAAAAATATGTTTCAGTGGAAAGAGTACTATAATATAGGAGTCAATAGAATTGTATTTCAGTCTCCATTGTGCCGTTAACAAACTATTTAACTTTCACCAAACTATTTTAGCAACCCTGTACCTCAGTTTACTCAACTAACAAAATTAGGGATTTGAGCTAGGTGATGAGATTTGTTACTCACTAATCATATCCTATTTCATCAACATAAGGTATTTTAAATGGAAGTTTTTGTTTGTAAATAATGTTCCAATGCAAAAATATTTCCTTGATTTCTCCTTTATCTGTTTATAAGTCTGCAGAAGATTTTTCAAGGAAATGTTCAGTCTTTTAAAAGTGGCATGTTATTTTATAAACTCGAGTAAAGGAATTAATGATAAAATCTTGGTAGCCTTTATCAGTGCTTCTCAGACATTAATGTGTTTACAGATCACATAGGGATCTTGATAAGAGATGCAGTTTCTGATTTAGTAGCTATAGATGTGGCTGGAGATGATACATTTCTAACAAGCTCCCAGATGATGTAGATGCTGCTGGCCCAGGTCAGTATCTAGGACAACACATTCACAGACACTTGAATTTGTAATCTTTGTTTAGAATAATGCAAAATAGTTAATATCCCTTTAGCTTTATGTTTAGATGTGTTTAGTCCAAGCATTTTTTTTTTTTAAATTTATATGTCCGTCAGGTTGCTTGTTTGTTCTTTATTTTAGACAAAAGCTATGTAGCTTAACAACTGGGATCTGCACAGTGTACATCGATTTGAGGGTAGTAATTTAAAGCAACATTATATATTTAAAGGTTTTATGGTAGACACCTTTTCTGGTTTATGTAAAAAGTCTTTGAATGTTCAGTTTTTACCTATACCAAAGACGCCTCCATCTTGGAGATAAATTGTACATATCCTTGTTGTGTGTGTGTATGGGGTGTGTGTGTGTGTGTGTGTGTGTGTGTGTGTGTGTGTGTGTGTGTGTGTGTGTGCGCGCGCGTGCATTGTTTTTTTCCTGATAATATCTGTTATTTCTCTTTTTGGGGAACCCTGATGATTTCTCCTTGGGTCTGTGTGGTCCCCAAACAAGCAGCATCAGCATCACCTGGGACCTTGTTGGAAATACCAATGCTTGAGCCCCACCCCAGAACTATGGCATTATAAACTCTGATGGTGGGGTGAGAGATGCGTGTTGAAATAGTCTGAGAACCACTGTCCTAGAAGTAACCTCAAGCCCACTCCCAGCTTTGTGGAGTGCTGTCCTGATCCTGGGCAGCCTTTCTTTTATTTTCATGCTGTGCTTACTGCTTGACCCTTTGATGGGGGATTCCACGACATAAGTGATGTGGTCTCTGCCCCTGGAACGTTTACAGTCTAGAAGCAAGGGAGGTGTTTATTTTCTGACTCTGGTAAAGATTTATTGACTTAAGTCATTTTACTTTTCCATTTCCTGCTCTTCCGTCCTAGGAAGTCAAACTATATCTGTTTAAAAAAAGAAAAAAATGCATTGGTTGTCCTCTGTTTAGAAGTAGTGGAGTTGATCTGAAGCTTTTTAGAGAGTAGCCAGTGTACCATTTAATTACTAGTCATAATTATTACCTTGTAGGCAGAAACACACACATTATATTTATACATTTAATATACATTTATATGTATGTAAATATTTACATTTTTTTACATTTTGACGTGTGTTCTGTTCAGTATCTCAAGTAAAGAAGATTCCAAAGTCCGACTTTTATATAAAGAATGTCATAGTTTAGCTCATCATGGAGTTCTTACTTTTTTAAAAAGTTTTTTCTCATCTCTGTACTAATGAGTCTGTTTTTCATTCCAGTTCAGTGTATTTGACTGTAAGGTATTACTACGCTATTTATATTGTTCCTTATTAATTATATTATTTGTTATTTTAGATCCTTTACATTAATGGCCTTTAAGCTTCAGTGTGCATAAGAATTACCTGGAAAGCTTGTTGAAATGCGCATTCCAGGCACACTCCTTACATGCTGATTCAGTAGGTTCTGTATAGAACCCAGAAATCATCAAGCATTTTTGAGTATTCTGATGTAGGTCATGAATCATACTTTGAGGCAGTGATTTAACCTGGCCTTGATTGTGCCCTGAATTATTTTAAAAAGTTTACTTTCTTTGCCCTTCAAAAGGACAAACCCAAATGTACAAAATTCTAGGAAGACTGTTGTTGTTTGCTTGGCTTAGTGTATAGTATGTATAGTCTAAGCAGTTTCTCAGATTGTTCAGTACAGAAGCATAGAGTTAGATGAAAGGTGAGGGAAATGATGGGTAAAGAAGATCCCACATCTTTTTCAGACTGCCAGTGGTTTGCGAAGGCAGTGCAACATTTTGAAAACACAGAGAATAAAGTTTTGAAGGGAACCCTTATGACCTGAACAAATACTAAGTGCAAAAGAGGAGACTTAGTGCATGCTGACACTGGTTGGATTTTTGTGTGCAGTTATAACCACTCTCCCACTATCAGGGAAACAGTATAGCAAAGTGAAGGGAAGCTCTAAATGAATAACAGGATGCAAACAGGGGGTGTGTGAATTCCTGCGGAAAGAACAATATAAACGAGTAATCATACAATCTTGTTAGAAAGGAAACTCAGGTTTTACTGTAACAATAGATATTTTTCCAAGAAAATACATCTATTTATTGCAAGTTTAAATAATACAGCTTGGATGAATCTTCTTAAACTTTGGAGTCATGTTTGTACTATTGTTTATCGATTTCTAATTAATCAAAACATTCTAAAATATAACTTTAAAATACTTGAGAGAGTCATTTTTCAGTTATGGTAAAGTTAAAAGCAGTTTCTGTGACACTGTCATATTGAGATTATTTTAAATAAGCTTTATAATTGAAGATTGCTTTATTCTAAACATTGTACAGTTGCAGGATACACAAAAGAAGAGATTTTTGTCTTTTAATAGCTCAAAGTCTAGGGAAGGAGGTTCTATTATTTAATATCTATAAATATATAGCTGCAGAAATATTTGCTTTATTGAATTTATCGCAGAGGTCTCTGGCTGTATCATACAGTGCAATGTGTAGAAGTATTTAAGGGCTTGGATGCAAAGCTATATGCAGTTTTTTTGAAACAGCTAGTGTCAACTGTGGTCGTTTTCAGTCTTCTCAGTACTGCCCTTTGAGTTCTTTAGCTTTACTCTTTGCTCCTTTGCCATCCTTTTACATTTGTTATCAGGTTCCTGGACCACCGGTCCTCGTCATCTTTGCTGACTGTTCTTTTGAGTACCAGCAATCTGACAATCTTGTTACTTTTTTTTTTTTTTTAAGTCAGTTTAGGTGGGATGTACAGGTAGGACTCTGAATTAAAAAAAAATCACTGACTTGGTAAATCTTACAGATTAAAAAAATCTAGACTAAGGAAATATCTTATTCTTGATATTCTGTATAAAGGACACATTTTGACATGTTTTAAGGAAACAATAATAGATTAATAGCAGTATTAGATGTTTAAGTTCTATTCCATTTCCTCAGTAACATTGCTTTTCTGTGTTACCTTGTCTTCCTCTTCTGCTTGTATCTTTTTTAATAAAAATTTATTTTTAAAGAGTTCTCTGAATTATGTATCTTCGAAGTAATTCTGTAGAGTCTTGTTTTTAGAAAATAACCCAGCAAAAAAATTGAAAATTGCTACTGTGTGATGATGGCACGTAAATATGTTAAAGTACAATTTTTTCCCTCTCAAGATAGTTTAAATCAAACTAGAGAGGTGCCTGAAGATAACTATTTTTTTTCCAGAATTCGCATTCTAAAAGGAAAACTCTGATTATGGCAATCATGATACCTTCCATAACTAAAGCTATATAAATCTAGAAGTTCTTTTAAATTTTATTTTATGGACTTTATATAATAAAATGCATGAAAGTTTAAACATAGGTAAATGAAAATAATAGACCATCCTTCTTGAGTTAGACTAAAGTGACATTTAAATCCTGGCTCTTATATTTAATAATATTGCCTCCTTGGGTTAAGAATTTAATCTATCCTTTCCTCAGATATCTCAACTTCCAATATAAGATTCATTAGATTATATGAACTGAACTCGTTGCTGTCAAGTCAATTCAGACTCATGACGACTGTATAGGACAGAGTAGAACTGCCCCGTAGGGTTTCCAGGGAGCAGATGGTGGATTCGAACTGCCAACCTTTTGGTTAGCAGCCAAGCTGTTAACCACCAGGGCTTCTAGATTATATGAGTAAGTATAATATTTTATGATGTAATTTTATTTAGAATACTTTCATCTCTGAGTGTTTAGTTTTCTTTGGCAAGTATTTAAAAAATACAGTGACAAGTATCAGATTG